GAAACGGAAGTACAGATGTCTGTAATACGATCACTCGCTTACTTAACTTTCAACATGAACACAGACAGTCCGAAACTCAACAGAGAAGCCCGACACGCATAAGATCACTTTCGAGACCGTAACTGTAATGGCAAAGATTTTATATCTCTCTGAAAAGTACACATATAAGTTCCTTTTTACAAACACTAACATGTAAAAATGAACCAGTGTTCTCTCAATGGACGGAAAACGAAAAATCGATTAGAACTTACGGTAATAGGTGCGCTAACCCTAAAGTGGGTTTACGCAGACCTATTAACTGGATTTTGTTTGTGACAGATATAGAAATGTCGATCTTTGTTATAGGCCATAGCCTGCTCGCAGACAGGCAAACGGAAATCAATGAATTAAAGTGCTAAATAATTCATTTATCGGGTTTTATTTTCTTGATTCTGTTGATGTCCTATGAGAGTCAAACGCTCAATCGACTGTCTGGTCCTAAGTCTAGGAGGTGAATTTGGACTTCAGCATCAATAATTTTCATTTTAATGCCTTCCAAAAGATGCCATTACTTGTAATACTCAAAAACCTCAAACTAGAACCGACTCCTTCGACTATTTTAGGCATACCAATTATTTTCAGGATACTCACTACCTTGAAAATAACGTAGTGGTTATTCCGAATTACCACTAGCAGTTCGACTCAGTGGAATAGCAAAATTATCATACTGGAAGATCGTGAAAAGAAATAATTTTCAATGGTGAAAAACAGTTCAGCTAGTTTAACTGTGTACTCAGTAACTCCAGAGCATCTGTATGTATCGCGGTGGAATCGTTCATCTCGGCATTTAGAAATGTCGCAAAATCGGGTGAACAAGATTGGCAGCAATTATCATTTGTTTTGAGACCAATTCAGCACACTGAATCGATGTACAGCACTACTAGCTAGATATTGTGCCGTATGGCACTTTAAACGCTATGAAAAGCCAAATATATATTCCTTCACTGTGGAAAATGTTTTCTTCGTATCTTCATCTGAGTTGTTGCTTTCCTCGTTTCTACGTAGATGGCCGGTTAAAAGTCTCACGAAAGACCCAAGATTCGGTATGATGACAACCAAAAACTTACCAGTTCATTAAATGTGCACCGTTGTTTGACTATGGTTGGCTCTAGGTTATCTATAGATTCCTGCTTAACTACTTGAATGTGCCCGTTATTCCTAGCGGAGAAAAAATTTCCTTCCATAAATCCACCACCTAATATGTCCATAGCTCTCATCCCCAAATCTTGTCAAGTTCTTGTCATGCCTCTGATGTCTGCCTCCAATCCTTCATGCAGTCTCTTCCTTGGATGTCTTCCTTCTCGTTCTTTCTAAGAATTTTAAGTTCACACAGAATGAATGCCACTTCATTCTGAAGTGGGCCAATACCATAAGCGTCAGTGGTATGTCAGAGAAAATTTGAGTGGTTGGTTTACATTCAACATTTCAGCATGTCTAAAGTAAAACCGTGTCCTCAGAGTCTTTGGAAAACAGAGCCCAGACTCTGGAGATGGGATTCTCTGCTTGAACAAAGATGCATAAATTTGAGACTTATGAATAAATTATCGATGAATCTCTAAAATGTTTGAGCAGTTTTCCTTGAGCCCAATGAAACTAGCAAAAGTTCATAGTCGAAAAAATGTAATGGTAGCCGTTTTGGGAATGTCGTCTGTATACACAGAAATTGGGTTATACGTTTTGACTAAGTCTATTTTACACGTTGTAGAAAAAGCAATTCACTTTTAATAAAATTGCATCATTCACAAATGGCCTTTTACTGAAATGTGAAATATATTTTTATTTTTTTACTTCACTCCCTAAATTAGTGAAGATAGTACACAATGAATAAAACTGCTACTAATACTGTCTGCCTGGGGATTTGTCACTTTATCCATTGATAACGCTTTCACGCGAAAAACTAAATAAACCATTCAAAGAAGATCGCTCATCATATGTGTTTTATCCATATTGCAACAAGTTTTATCATAAAGAAATCGAACTTCAGCAAAAATGAACCAGAGCAAACTAACAGCCTGAAATGCTGAACTTACTAGAATAGTCTTAAAACAACCATACAGTAGCAAGACGTTACATCCATACTGAAAGTAAAATAATTACCTATCATATTCAATGTCAGGTATATTTCTTCATATTGTACTGCAGTGACTCCACTATTATGAAGAGGACGTGATTGGTTTATTAATAACATTCACTATTATAGCCAACTGTACCAGTAACTGTTTTGCTGAACCTTTTGTTTATTTGTACTTTGTGCGCGAAAACTAATTTGTGTTGCTGCCTTTTAGACTCCACTGTTCTCTGTAACTTTTCCCCTCTTTTCCAGCACGATTTTGGTATTCCCTCGATCCACTAGGGTCTCAGATATCTGTGAGGCTGCGCCATGGGATTGAGCTGAACTGTTCACATTGAACTGTTAACACGTGAGCAGTCTCCTTGGTTCTCCTGGAAACCAATGTTAAATTACCCTTGCCAATCGAGGGTAAATTTGCATAAAATTGTGAATTCCTGTGAAGGTTTCATCTACAGGAATCCCAAAAATTATACAGCTTATTAACCGATTTTTAATAAATATTTTAGCTTTCTCAGGTTTTCGAATACATCTCCAGTACAAGTGCTCCATGATAATCGAATATTCAAAACTTTCCTGAATATCGCTGATTCAAAAGTCAATAAAAGAGTTTTTAGGTGAGGAGTGCAGTCTCTTTCTTTTCATTTATTTAGTTTTATGAGCAGACGATTTATTTAATGGACAGGATTCTAGAGACCTTAAATTAAAATTTGGGCATAAAATTAATACAAGCCATTTTAATATCAAGAGTATGAAAATGAATGGCATAAAGATTGAAAAAAACAACTTTTGATATAAATCAGATATTCTTTCCATCCAGTCAAATTCAAACCATCTTTACGTGTTGTAACATAATTCGTAGATGTGCAGAGGAAAAGCTGATCTTTTATATCAACTGTTAAGTTTGCCTACAATCTCACTTGATACTAATAGCAAGTTACGTCGAAGATACGAAAGTTATTCTTCCTAGAATAGTTTGTAAGCACTTCTTTATCAGACCATCAAAAGCACGACATGGATCAATCAATTTCTCGATTTCTTGAGACACGGTCATGTTTGGTCACAGCTCTACTATGAATTTCTTTCGGAATCATTTGTAAATGCAGACGAATTCACTTAGTATGTATAAGTATATTGTGTTTAACTTGAACTGTGCGGATCCCCTTATTCTATGATGACCTAAATCTCATTCCAATTTTCCATATTTGGTGTTAAATTATTCTACCAGCATCTGTTTGTTTTTGAATCACGATTTTAGTTCTACTAATAATCAAGCAGATCGTAAATATTGTACTGTAAAACTTTAGTACGTGATAGTGAAAACCATGAAGTTTCTTAACTAGGGACAACCTCCAAGCTTATCTTTAATGTCTATGTAGTCAATAAATATGCATATTGTGTATAAACTTTTGATCATTCTATCGCCTTGCTATTGTTATTTAACACAGGGTTGAATAATAAATACCATTAAGTGCTAACTGGCATTCTAATTTAGGAAGAACTCTTAATTTATTTGCCTGAATTTAGGTACATTTAAACGAATAGAAAAATGTAAATAAAGTAGAACATATTTACATGAAATCCAAACGAATGTTGATATTTTGAATACATTGAGCTAATTGAAAATCTACTAAATGAAAAGTACATGTGACTAGCCAAGAACTAGCTAGCATTTCTACGGAATAAAACGTAAAGCATGAGTGATTTAATTTTATAAGGGATAGACACATATGTGTGAATGAGTTTACGTACATTTTGGTTCGGTTAGCCATGAAAAACTTTCACTCTCAATCCTCTCACCTAGGTAGCCACTCAAGCTAACATACAAGAAGATTGAGTATCAATATCTAAATCCAACATTGAACAACCCAACAGCGTTTTAGAGAAGAGAGTGACACGGGACTTGAACTCAGCACAATAGTTGCAAAAGTTTTCTACTCTGACAAGGAACGAAAGATACAGTTTTTAGTTCTGATCACAAATTCCGTCATTAATTTTTTCCAAATATATTCATGAAATGAACAATCAATAATGAAAAAAAAAACAAATTTTATTCATCAGTGCAAATATTTGATTTAAATTTTAACAAGACGAAAGAACTTAATACATACATGTTTCATGAAAGATAAAGTATATGTTTAATATACATGTTGATTGTGAATTTATTGTTAATGTTAATGTTTTAATCATTGCAATTATACAACCCATTTCATTTGAATTGTTAACATTTATTTGATAACTAATAGTAGTATGAAAAGATTCGATGTAATTTGCTGAAGTGCAAAAGAGTCGAAAGAACAAATTAATACTGATGCTCTTCATCAGTATATTTTTATTATACAATGATTGGCGGTTAAATCAAGTGCCTAAAACTGTTCCATTAGCAAAAGAAACAGATCACTTGTTGCATGAAGAAACAACTGAAGTTATGAAAAGATTAATATTTTGCTGTAATAATTTGTCTGTTGTTGAAAATCTTATTTCACCAAAGAAATAAGAGAAGTTTATAGACTATTGAACCCTGTGACCGTAGTAATGATTGTGCGCTTATTTTAAAAAATATAATAAGCTGTTATGTGTTGTTAAATGCATTCTGAAGAGATCAGTAATACTAATAAATTAAAAAATTATTTTATTTGGTAAATTAGTATTTCATACTATGACTGTGTATATTTATACTGATGAAAATGAAGTAAATTAGGTAATATTTTCATAAGACTGGTGAAATGAATGGCAAGTTTTGTTGGGAGTGTATAAAATTAAACTTTTCACATTTTATGTATGAACTTTTGAAGGATAAATAAAGTATGTTTTATTTACAAAAATATATGAGCCTATTTCATTATAAGCGAAGACAAATTTTTACTATTCACTAACTGATATTTACTAATCATTATGTTTGAAGATAATGAGGTTGAAAATGATGTCGAAAATCTTTACATTCTGAATTTTCATTATGAACAAAATCACCGAATGGAGCTGTGTAATGATTTGTAAGAGTACTTGAAGAGACTGGACTTTGACTTACAGCTGAATATTGATCAAATGATACTTCACTAACGTTAGAAGGCGCTGGTGGAACATTTAGCATAAAATTGGGCATTGGACCTGGAAATGGTGCAGGTTGATAAGTTGGTTGTGGAGGTTTTCCATTGAAAGATTGGGGATTTAAATTCTGTTCATTTGAACTCATAAAATAAGCTGGAAATTGATTGAAATTATTGATCGCTTGTTGAATATCACTATGATTTGATGGTGTCATGTTATGAGTGTTAGGTGGACAAGGTAAGATACAGTGAGATGGATGAGAAGCAGGCATACAGTTACCATTCATTCCAGAACTTGCTTTACTGTTCACACGACTAGAATCATCACTAATATTTAAAAGAAGTCGAGGATCACTTGAAATCGGAGTATTTTGAGAAAAGTTTGCAGGTTGATTAAAATGTGACGGATTAACCTGAATGTTAGGATAATGATTTAATAATTCTTGTCCTTTTGATGTCTGATTATGGTGATTATCACTTGAATTATAGGAAGATTGAATTCCCATATAAGAATAATTTGGTTTCCCAGTGTTTTGACTGTTTGAAGATAGCCTGGATGATGTATTCAGGCTAGAAGACTTCTTTCCATTTGGTATAACATGATATGCTTCAGGACTGAGTTCAGCAGTTCGTAAAATACACCTTTCATTGCTAGAAGATATTAAATGACTTGGAGCACGTTTACGTCGAAATACAAACATGTAAGCAATTAATCCAAGAACGGCAAGCAATAAACCAAACGGAACAAGAAAATATATTAAAACACGTCTTCCTTTTGCGAAAGCTGAATCTAAATCAAATAAATAGAAGGAATGAAGTTTAACATTTTAACTGTATACATTCTTTTTGTAATTACTACATTTAAATATGTGTATAAATGTATCTGTTATCGATAAAGCTATTATTCATAGTGAAACGTCAAAATTTTAAAGCACTTTCGATTCATTGGTGAATGCCGGATCAAACCATATCCTACTCTGTCATCTATAAACTGTTTTATAGTACGTCATTCTGATCATAAATGTGATTGCTTCCCATTCAGACAATAAGTGATAATTAACAGTTACCTTAAGGAATAACTTACAAGTAATTACTTTATACTCGTTAAATATTTTACAACACAATCAAACTCAATCCTAACTTCCTAAAATATATTTGATCAAAGCAGGCATATAAGTTAATCGTGTTGAGAGTGTCTATTTCTGGTCCTACTTCAGTTATTTTATTGATTTGACTTAGATTTCAGTATAAAAATAAGTGCATATATTGATCTTAAATACCCCTAGACTATAACGGATATTTTTGATACACATCAATATTACTTTTACGAAAGTTAGTGGAATGAATGAGCTCATTGAACAGCTATATTTGTGATTGGATCCCTGGACTATTCAGTGGTAGGTACTTTCAAAATATGTAAATCAAAAACCAGAAGTTTACAACCGAAAAGGAAATAAATTTCAATGTATTATTTTTTGACTAAGCACTATTATTTTCAATTAAGAAAGAATCATCAAGTGTGTTTGCAAAGTTTTAATTTTGACCAGATTTTAGTTTTGTTTACTCAACAGATAAGTAAATACAATTTCTAAATTTGTAACTTGTTTGCGCTAGTTTTATTTATATAATTCAAATTACAAGTTTAATTCAATCATCAGAAATATAGTAGCTATAAATTACAACTAAACATTTGTAGATTCAACATTGAGCTAAATTTATTCATTTTATTGTATAAAGCTGGCTAACAATCATGTATAATGCTTATTGTGCAATCTCTTTATGCATTCTTCATCTACGCAGTTAAACTATTTGACTGCTATTAATTTACTCATCTTAGACACAATCATATTTACATCTGTATTATACTCGTCTTAAATTGCATTTGATTAGGTGTTTACAAACAATGCATTTAGTACTATGTAAATAAGAGTTTAGCATTATCAGAGCATACCAAAACGGATTTTTTAAAAATGCTTAAGCTTACAAAATTAGATAGAATTACTATGATTATCAAATAAAAAAAAAGGAATTTACTAACACTGATGATGAAAAGAAAATATTTTAAATTTACCTTGATCTATATTCACATAGATTACAATATATTCTAAACTTTTAACATCTGATAAACTCATTGTCATAACAATATATTTTCCTTCATGTCGTTCTTTATTGATTGGTTTTTGAAATCGTAATTTAGTCATAAATAATTGTTCCTTCTTTTGATTTGTAAAATGTTGTTGATTATGCTTATTGTTGTAATTTGTTTTAGGTTGAAAGTAAATCGATGGTTTTTCGTTATTATTATTATTATTGCTATCATCATCAACATCATCGATAATTTGCAAGTGATTAAAATCCTTATTAGCATTTATTGATGATGATGAAAGTTTTATATCATGAAAAGTGCTTGATCTATCTGTATAGGCTGTTGTTTTTTCTACAATAGCAGGTGAATTAACCCATGAGCCTAAAATAACATAGAATTCATTTTGTTCAGTTATTCTTGCACTCGGTAATGGGATTTTTGTTGCACCTGATTGTTCATACATTAATTCTTCACCTGGTTCAACTCGTTTTAACCACTAGAAGAATAAAAGGAGTTATAAAAGTGGTAATAGCTTTTTCACAATAAAATTTTATGTGAAAAATTAAACTACTCATAAGTAAACATTTACATTGTGACAAACAAATACACTAAATTAAATTCTAGCAAAAATATTGATTTAAATCACGACAACAAGTGAAAACCTGAATGCACTGGACAGCTTTCTCATCTCGTCATGGGTCTTGTAACCAGAGTACATCCACGATCTTGCATTGTGACAAGACCGTTGGTCCCGTACGCTTCAAAGTGTTAGTGTCTAACTTCAAACAATTACCATCGTTGCGCTGCTATCATCCTTTGTCCTCTGCGGGTAACTGTCTCATAACCGACAAGGTTGTACTCTATTGGTAACGACTTTTCACTAGGACTCAGAGAATCCCCTCATAAAATGTCACTAGTGAACACATGATAGTTATCTGTATCACCATTAAAACATATAGGAATATAATTATTTGGAAGTTCAATTATGATCTCAATAGCTGGAATTTTTGGGAATTATAATGATAAAATCTTAATTTTATTAATTGCTATTATCACGTTTCTTACTTATCTTTCACCCTTTTCATACTCTTCAAGTGGGTAACTATCCTTTGGGCATTCGAATTCATCTTACTATAGCTATTCAGTTCTTGGTTGTTAAACAACTTTCTTTGACAGATATGATGTAATCATCCTCTTATTCCTCAATAAACTTTTTAATTTGTAAATGAACAATAAATACGATCATACACTTTCAGAAAATGATATAATCTAAAAGAAAACTTTTTTCGCTGAATTGTTTTAAACTCCTCTTTATTAAAAAGCTGTTTAACTGACCCTTCGCTTATGAGATGAGTTATATTTCTTCAGGTCATGTTATTAATGGAATGTACTAGTGGCTAAAATTATGAGTATAAGATTACTGCTGATAAAACTGTGTTGGGATATAAAGAAACGATTTGAATAAATGATCTGTTAACTAAAACTAGGATCAAAACTAATTTCACAAACCAATGACTCATTGAACTCAATAACTATAAGTGGATAACTCGTTGGTTGATTTTAGCTAAAGGCACTGAGTTTCAGTGTTAATGTGAACTAGAATACTGGACTGCATATATATCCAGTTGACACGTTCGAAATAGGATAAAAAGCGTATTCTTACTTCTATTGCTAGCCACTAGCAAACAATCATTTTTAAACAGCTTTTAAAGTTTCTCATTTATTCTGTTTAGCGTGGTTTCAAAAAAAATCTGTCAATGTTCAGTTCATATTACTTTCAATCAATGAAACTGTTAATACCCTAAGGCATTTTTCATATGAAAAATGACACGTGTCTATGAATGAATAATCATCCTTACTAATATATATATATATATATATATATATATATATATATATATATATATATATATATATATATATATATATATAATTCTTCGTCGAACTTTTACTAGGGTTGAGCTTATGCATATCTTTTAAAATATGTATCGTCATGTATTGAAACGTTTTTTTATTCAAAAGCCATATAATGATTAGATGTTCTCTGGATTGAATTAGCTTGACGAAAACTAATAAATTTCTGACAACTGTGTTCAGTCTATTGTATCAACTAAAATGTATATATATATATATATATATATATATATATATTTCTTAGATTGTTCTGGATTAACACAAACATATATGGTGACAATTAGCTCAGAAACAAACAAGATACTTTAGGTTAAGTTTTAGAAACATTAATCTTCTTTTACTAAAAAAGATAAAAAATTTGTAAATAAAAATAGTATGCAGATTATCTATTGTTCAAATCTAAACACTACAAACTTGTAGTGTTCTTGATTGGCTAAACCTAGGTTGCTGCTGATGAGTCCCATACCAGGACGAAACGGCCGTCCAGTGCTTCCAGGTTTCTAATGGTGGTCTAACAATGATTGATTGATGATTTCAAATGTGTGAAAACACAAAACCTCCAAAACTCTGCCCGTAAACTTAGGTTGCTGGTTCTTTGAGCTTTTCTGACTGTTTCATTTAGTGTTGTCGAAGAAAAAAACAATAAAATTTATATCATAAAATTAGCGATAATAATTATTAATAGTAATAATGACTTACTTGTATCACGGGTTCATCGCATGCACATTTTATTCTAGCCATAACTACGGCAGTTTCATCATTTTTAAATGTGTAATTCTGTTCAGGACCAAGAATTTTCGGTGTAGCTGATGGTGGTTCTATAAATTAATTAGTATGAAGTGAAAAAAACAAAATTTGCCAACATTAAGTGAAGTACAAGTAAATTATTACAGAAAATTTGGATTATTCATTAAATGAAGTTAATAGTAAATCAAATAAGTTGAGTCTTATTTCTACAGAGAATTTTGAAACCTTTGATTAAACAAAAGTTTTTTTTTTCATATGTAGTAGAGATTATTAGATCTATCCACTTATTCACAATGTACACAATGAATAATTGAATTTTAAAGATTTTGTAATGACTCAACACTTTAGTCATAGTGTTTATTAATGAAATATTTACACAAAGATTGATCACTTTGTTGTCTATGTATGAAAAAGCAGAAGTTAAGCAGTCAAACTAAATAGATCTACATAATCACAACAGTAAAAATACCACCTTATTCGAAAATGATATTGGAGTAACTTTTAAGATATTCGGTTAGATAATTAGTGAGAAATATTGAGGCGAATTTTTTTCAATAACAGATGAAGTACTCGCTACTTTGCCACATTTTTAATTCAAAATCTAACTGTGTATTAAGTCATTATTTGAATTTACTAACTATTAACCCATGAAAAAATTTTTAATTAACTTTTAATTATTTTGACTACTAGACAATTTATTTCTCGAGTGGAAAAGGTAATTAGAGTTTTAATCTGAGCAGAGGACTCTTGAGCATCGTATACCAATGATCGCATTGGAGATCGAACTTGGAATCTTCGGTCACGTTGACAACGCTAAACATCTAGACAACTGAGCCAGCATCCAATGGTTTATATTTCTAACTTCAGTCAAATCTCAATATCATGCAAGCGAAACTAATTGCTCTTGGTAATATTTGTCTCATGATTGACATCGCTGAACAAGACTAGTCATGGCTACTTATTGCGACTTCGAAGAAAACCCCATTGCAATAAGTCATCAGTTATCAGGTGTTCATTAGTAGTACATGGGGTTTATAGAGATAGATAAATTTCACAATTAACACCTAATCATCTAGATGGATGAAACCCTCTGAAAAAAATCCGCTAATCATTTATATTTTACACTTGAAATCTTTATACTGATTGAATTTCTTGGCATATAAAAGTCGGTCAACAACAATTTTATTGTTAAGTAAATAATAAAATTTAAGTAATTTGATCAACTAAAAAATGGGAAGAAAAACTGATTTCTTATAAGTCACGGCACGATTTGCTTATTCGGCTTCGAATTACTTATTCGTGATGCAACAGTTAAAAATTATTTTTGATAACTATGATTGCTAATTTCTGATATTCGATTATTATCAGATTTCTAGATAAATATCGTATTTGTTAAACCCATAATAAAAGGAAGTGTAGTATATAATTTGAAAAATATTGATCATAAATATATGAGTTACAAAGTGATAATAACTATTTTCAATTCATTGAAATGATTTGCACAAGCTGTGCATTTATTTTCTACACTTGATAGTTAAGCCTTATCACATCAACTTATAACTAGGGAATTAATAATCCTTGTGTATGATTGCTAAAGTTAAAAGATTCTGTTAAAAATTCATTAGTTAGGACAGATAATTAGTTTCAACAAGAAACTAGACCTATAATTCTTTATTTCATGTAGTTTCGCAACCAAGTTCATAGACAAGCTCTGAGTAGAGCATATTTCTACATTTGTAATCACTGAAATAAGTTAGTGATCGAAAATGAAAAAAGTAGAAGAGGGTTTGAACGTGTAATTCAATTTTGTCACACTTTGGGAGTGATTCACATTTTGTGCAAAGCTGTTATATATCGTCTTAAAACATTATCAAAATTAAATGTATCCATAGCTCAACTTATAAAATATTCATTAATCCTTAGATCGCGTCGTAAGCAATTTTTGTAGAAATGATTTTATACCGATGCAGATGACCAGGAAATTCTAGAGAATATTTGGTTATCTACATATATATATTTATATATAGAGTGCTTTTCTAACGTGACGTAAATCTACTTCATATAATACTATAAACAAAAAGGTAGGCACTTAACTAGAAAAGTAACTATTATATTTCTAAACATTGAGAAATACGTTTTTGTTTTGTTTTATGCACATTTCAATGTGTGTTTAGCCAGACAGGTAATTTTTTTTCTAACAACAACATCAACATTGTTATACACTGTTATTTCTCCTGTCATAATTCTTAGAGTATAATTCTGTTGAAGAAGAAAGTGTGTCAATGAATGATGAATGGTTTAATTGACAGATTGTTGAGAATCTACAATTCTAATACACTAATAATAATAATAATAATAGTAATAATAATAATAATAATAATAACGAGTGGTTGATGAATAATCATGTGCAAAATGACCCAGACATACAAATAATACTGTTCTTTAAATCAACTAAGAATAGAGCAATACTCTTTTCTTTTTTTTAATGATTATGATTATTCTTCTTCTTCAACCTGTCCATCATTTTTTTTATCAATTATTATAAATCAGTAAAACATAAGATTCAGTGAATGAATGAATGAATGAATGATTACAAACAGTTTCATTTCTTTCAATAATTCAGTTATTGTTTATTTTCTTCCGTAAAGTTGTTTTTCACAAAAGGTATTAGTTATAATAATTGAACAGTGAACATAAATAAGATATTCAATGCAAAAATAAGTTTACCAACAACCAGCTAAGATTACATATTACATTATGTTGAAACTGTGAATCTGTATAACTTACCACTAACTAAGAGTTTGTAAGTGTAATTTAGACTGCCTACAGCATTAGCAACTTGGCATGTATATTGTCCAGTATGTTCTCGACCAACTCGATCAATTGTTAAAACTGGTCCACGAACTCCCTGACCAGTTGTTATCCAATCAGCTACAGCATTACCCATAAACCATCGATATTTTATTGGTTCTGTACCTTCAGCTTCACAATTAAATGTGACCGATGAACCGATAAGTCTCTCCAAGCTAATTGATGGATTCGTTTTCAAAGCTGTGTCAATGAAACATGGGGCTATATTGAGAGAGAGAGAGAGAGAGAGAGAGAAAAAAAAAGAAGTTAGATATTTTTACAATAGTCGGCATTAGATAATTAATTAATTAATTATGCAAACATTTGTCATTTGGATTCAAAAATGAAAGAAAAATTGAATTTTCAAACTTCTGAAATTATGCATTCAGATTATCTGTGTCTAAATTTAATCGTTTAAAATAGTCGTTTTATTATTTGGCGATTTAAACTAAAAGATTATGTGGTGGTCAACTTCTACGTGTTCTTAATCTTCGTGATTAGCTCGTTCAGACAATCGTTACTAAATGGCGTCTGACGGTTAATAAATCAGAAGGTAAACTCGAAGCGTTGAATACGTTTATTTTGGCACACCACAAATAGGGATAGCAGACCACAAGCAGACCAGGCAGGCACACTAGCGAGCGAAGTGCGAATATGCGAATGTGTTAATAAGGTTAAAATGTTCGTATATATACATAGGAAAATGTCTGAGTCATCGTGATATTTAAGAGATCAATATTAAAGCGAATAGAATGCATAAGCGCGTAGGCGTTAAGCAATGCTCAGCCATACCAGCTCATACAAACCACACAATAATAACAGCCAATGATACATATAAGTTATTGTTATACAGATGGCTTGGTTAAATAAATTAATCGAAAGGCTTAATCAAATTAAATGTAAGCGAACTCGAATATACGTGGAGGCACTACAATTATTTTCAAAGTTTTCAAATAACATTTTGCGCATTATTCACAATCCAATAAACATTGTTTATTATATTACAGCATCTGAGTTATTTTTAAGATTTAAAATTTATTTAACTCTTCATTTTGATTTAAAGCAGTTGATGCTCATTGTGTACACTGATTAATTTGATACCATCCTGTGAGATGGTTCGAAATCAATGCTAATCGCATATACATAAGAAAAAATCAACTTTTATTCTCCTTACTTTCAATTTCATCCTTATGTTCAAAATTGTATTTTCCGTTTGATCATATTTTTAACATTAGTTGTAATACTGTTATTATTATTATTATTATGATTATTATTGTTATTATTATAATTTCGAACCGTTTGATTGATAGGTCATTTTCATCTTGTTTTCTTGACAGGAAATATGATGTTATCCATGGATGATCGTTTGATCAGAACGTTATTTTTGTTTTCTAAGTTTCAAGTTACTCAAAGTTAAGCCATTTACTTAATTTTCTATAAAAAGTATCATCTTTTGTAATTCTTTATTACATAACCACAGTATCTATGTGATTTAACAAAACTATACAAACAATTTCAGCAATAAAATGTCATTTATATATACATCACATAGTAGGGCATCACATAATGCAATCTAAATCTAGAAGTTTACCTTTTGCTTTGGTATTCTCCACATTTGGAACGGCACATAGAAGATTGACGTTCGGATCTGTAATTAATGAACAAACAAAAAATTGAATTGTTGTTTGGGTAAAAACATATTTGTTTTGAAGTAAAACTAAGTGTGTTGTCAATCAAATGGACAAATAAAAATCGTTGGAGATTATTCATGTGATCAATGTTAAAAATAATCTATTTACAAATTGAATTCAATTATATTTTGTTTTGTATTTAAAATATGAATATCACCAAATTGTATACATTGAAAACATACGAATTTATAAGTTATACATAGAAACGTTGAAGATTTTGCTTATCGTATTTTAGTTTCTAACTGAAAAACTATACACGAGGAGTTAGTTCTTATGTAATGACCGATTTTGGCTACCAGAGAGGAATCAAAGAGTCGCAAGTTTAAATGGGCCGTCGTTTGAAAACAAATATCATGGATTTTGCAAGCTGAGGTGTTGTAGGCGACTACTTAACGACGAAATTCAATCTGATATGACCATAATTGTCTTCACCCTCAGAACAAAAGGTTTTTAACTATTTGTAAATGAAGCTTACAAACTCATGAACGATACAACCTTCCAGTTGACTACAGACTTTCAGATCAAGTTGTCAAAAACTCTAACTTCTTATTCTAATACCTCATATCAGTTTCACAAGTAGGATGCATTCAAAAGGACCGTTGATAGTCTGATAAACATATACCGATTTGGTTGACTTAGGTCTTTCACACATTTGAAATCCTCAAATCATCATTGTTAGACCATCATTAGAGACCTGGAAGCACTGGACGGCCGTTTGTTCCTGGTATGGGACTCATCAGCAGTGCGCATCCACGACTCCTGCACACCGCAGGATTCGAACCCAAGGACCTTCGGTATTGTGCGCGAACGCCTTACCATCGGACCACTGGGCCGGCATCCAACGGTGTTAATGTCTAACTCTGACTGATCTACGGATTTTTGCGCGACCTCACCCATTTGTCTTTGGTAGTTACTGCCTACACCCAACAGGGTTGAACTCCATTAGGTCTTTCGATATTTTCCCCATATTAGCTGAACTTAAGTAACATAGTTTTTAACAGTATTGTTTATTAACTTTGTATCTAAATAAGTTTTCACGTTAAATGACTTCTTTTTTAATTACTTGAAAACGAATCTAGGTTTCCCCACATAAAATATTAACTAAAAAAAGGTAAATATTACATTTTATTCAATATTTGTTTTAACTGTATGACTATGGATAATATTTTATTTATTTGTCACATATTTGTCATTTTCATATTGAGCATCGATTGTTTTGTTGACCTATCGACGTTTAACCATGTTTATGGTCTGTTTCATTGTTAGAAAAAAATTTTCATTAGAAATCGATGCAGACTTCAGACATACACCTGTTAGAAATACTGTAGTGTTATCAAAATTTCACAAGATTTGTACTTTTTTTAAAAAAATATTTTATTTACCCACTAATCTTTCATATTCCCATTTAAAAAAAATATTTCAACAATTTACCATATGATAAATGAGTTGAATAGTTTGTTTTTTTCACAGCTAACTTTATTTTCACTAATCAAATTTGACCTTAATTAATAAATTTGTGAGAAATTAATGAATGACAATAATTGATAAGGAGGTTAATTATTCTTGTAAACATCTGTGCACTTGAATATGGTTATGTTAAAGTACAAACACGTTTATGTTGTAAATGAGTTCATAAGAAACTTCATAAACTGAAGTTCTATTTGAAGGTCATCATTCAGTATTGAAAAAGATCAACAAATAATATTAGACAAGAAATAAATATTTCCAATGAAATTACTTAAAAGCCTGATAAGTGAATGCTGATTAGCTCGTTGACTTGATAAAGGCTCTTTGCCTTAGAAAACTATGATTTTTAAATCAGGTGAAACCTTAGAATAATCATAATCATTAAAGATAAGTTGATTTCACATGAAAAGATAGATTTGGCAAAGATATGAGTGCGGGAAAAATAGAAAAGCAATAAAAGAACTTAATTCAAAACATCATTTAAAATTGTCTCAAATCTCAAAGGCGTTTAAAAATCAGAATCGTTTTAGACTTTTTAGAAAATAGACACCACAAGTTGAAAACTATTTTTTCCTATTTACCGATCCTTCTATAAACTCTACTACCTGTCAACGAAAAATTTGAAAATAATCAGTCGAAAATAGTCAGTTCACAGTTTGATTTCTCACAAAAGCTATAAATTCTATGTATCGTTTACTTAAAACTGCATATCATTTGCTTATAAATAAATTGTAAATTATCTATTTAAGTTATTTTTACTATATATAAACATTAAACAATATGTTGATTTCATTCACAAATCAAATGTTAGATTGATGTTTTCTCTTAAAAACTTTTCCTGATAAAATCAAACAAACTATAATTTAAGCGATGTTTTAACTTTCAACCCAATAACCAAGAAAAGCAAAGTGTTTTGATCTCAAGGTACTTTCTGCCTATTTGTACTCAGATAATTATTAATCAGAACTAAACATTTATTCTCCTATATTCTAGACTCAACTAGTTAGTTCTATCAACAACTCAATAGTAAAAATAATATGCACACTCAATCTATATTGAAATCGATTATATTTATAAAATAAGAACAAAATACGGAGTATGCATGTTACTGTTAGAATATAAATGAAGAACTTCACTCAGACAATTGTGTAGTATTACAGTTACTTTTCAACTAGTTCAGTTGAAATAAGAAATTTCAGGTCAACATCAATATCAATTTCCTTAAATCATATTAGATTTCAACAGAATACTTCAATATGATAAATAAATTCTAAATTCTTTCATTATGACTGATAAGGTTATCTTATTTTGTCATCAGAAAATTGTTTTTCTTGTCCTCGCATCAAAATATATACATACATATACACATATAAATTTATGTATCCTTCATGAAATATATGTGATATGTGACATATGATAAGAAATTGTTCAATGTTATCATTTTACTATACAGAAATTCAGTAGAACAGTTTCTGTATCAGATGAAAAAAAACTTCCTGCTTGAATTAGGTCGAGTGGAAAAATCGATTATTCACGTCTGGCAATTTATGAAAGAAAAGTTCACGTCAATTTACTTATAGAGAAAAAAAAACATCAGTCAACGATTTACGTGTACTACTCAAACAAATCGATATTTTTATAATGAGAATACAACATTCATACAAAATTCCTGTTTAAAAAGATGTACTTAAATTTTGGCGGTAATCCAATAAGAATGGGGCTTTTCTCTACAAAACTTAGTTTGATTAGTATAAAAGAAGCAAATTTTATTGTTCAGTGCACTGAAGTGTTTTACGAATCTCTTATTCAACTAACTGTCTCCGGTTACCCTGCCTCATATATATATATATATATAATAGCCATTGGCAAGTAATTATTCATTATTCTCTTAATACTATTTTAGTACAGACAATATCTCAAGTACTTATAACACTGTACTACTTCAAGTAATCAGTTATAAAAATTTCTAAAAAGAATATAAAAACATATAGCACTCATATATATATATATATATATATATATATATATATATATATATATATATGCATACATACATAAAAACAATTATACAAAAACCTTTATCCAAATTTAGACAGATTTTAATGAGCTATAAGCCTATAGGTGATTATTACGAGTAGTTTTTAAAAGTGCTCATTGTTTGCATGACAGAATAAACATCTGTATATATACACAAATCGATAAAACATGAAAGCATTCATCTGTTAAATAATGAAAAAATCCCTCTTTATAAAGAAACATTAATTTTTGTAAATTAATTTTTATTTTTTTAATTACATTACTTAAGGTCAATGTGTAATTCATGTTTTGATTAAAAATCAGTTATTTATAAACATATCCAATTAAAATTGTTACTTATAACAATAACAGTAGTACTTAAAACAACTATGTCAATCGTATATTAGTTCACTTTATTAAAAGGTATTTTCAATAATGACAGTTCATTCACTCAAAGTATAAGAAAGAATTAATGTTGAGTCGTTTATATATATATATATATATATATATATATACAGGTATAATGTATATTATATAAAAGTATAATCTAGAAATCAATAGATTTTATTGAAGTTGTCTATTAAAAACTACCTTTTAATTCTTGGTACAATTTGTAAAAAGTATAATTTATTTTTCAAATTAATGAAGTGTCCATCTACACCTAAAAGTATTTGATATTAAATTAGTTTAACATACTTCAGTACATTTGCTTAAACATTGAAGGAAATTCTAAATGCATTTATTTCAGTATATGTAGGTTTTTGCATATACATTAGGCAGTAAATTAACATATTCATTTTATATTTTGCCCTATGGTAATTGGTGGAATCTTAAATTTGATTTCAGTCATTGATGGTAATTTCATTTAGAACAGGCATCAGTTAATGTTAGACCACCATTAGAAACCTCGCAGTACTGAAAGACTATTTTGTTTTCGTATGAGTCTCATCAGAAGAGCACATTCACGACCCAGAGAGTAGGAACTCGACCAGTCTTTCAATCTCGCGTGCACACGCTTGACCTCTAAACCACTGAGCAGGTATCCGACGTTGTTAATGTCTAACTCTGCTCAGTCTAAGGTTTTGCGCAGCATCACGCATTGTCGTTGGTAGTTACTGCCTACACCCGACAAGGTTGAACTCCACTGATCACAGCTTTTCCCTAGAACTCTGAGAATTTTCTCACGAAGCTAGCCACTGGTGAGCATATTTTTATTATTTCCATCATAGAATTATAGATATTGTTGAGTTTCATTAAGATCTGGAGGTTCGGCGTTCGCGCTCATGACTAGAGGACTTAAGTTCGATTTCCACTCGCGGAGCTCGTGGATGAGCACTTCTAGTGAGTCCCACACTAGGATGAAACGACCGTCCAGTGCTTCCCGGTTTCTGATGGCGGTCTAACAATGACCGATGCGCGATTTTAATGAAACCCAACGATCTCCATAACTCTTTAATGAAAGTGGATTTCCATTTATGTTCATGTCTAAATTCTTCAATGCAAGCGCCAAACTGTCATTTACCTAGATACTAAGTTACAATGATTACTTACAATTAATAAAATTTAGCTCAACATTATTAAATAAATGTTTCTAGCTAGTTAAGAGATTAAATATTTCTTTGTACTAGTTCACTAACTACTAACTATCATGCCATTTTCAAATTTAGCCTTATTCTCGACCATGAAATTACACTGATCATTCTGTGTTACGGGAAAGTTAGAAGCTATCAGAATAAACAGCACAAAGTAGCTGTCGAGAAAATAATATGTGTTCTTTCTTTACATAATGATTAGCTTATTTTTATTAAGTTATATAAACGATTCTTAGCTTAGTTACAGAAAATAATAGGAAATTTCTATTAGTCTCTGTGCTGATAAAAATGCTATTCCATAAGTTCAGCAATGACGACGCTATATTTTAGTCTTCAAGATTTGTGTTAAACAAGCAGATGAACATCCTAACTCAATATCTTAGTTGATAGAGCACTGGATCAGGAAGTGAAAGATCTCAAAGTCATACTTCAGTAAAATAGTAACACTCTGAAGAAGAAACATTGTGCTAACTCGTCTAAATTAGAATGAATGACCCATGCTTGATTCTGTTATTGCTAATAATTCAACAAAATTATTAAATTAAATAAAAATTCATAAATTTTTATACAGTTTTGTACTTACCTCTTACATGTACTTCAAATGTTACTTCTCGTTTACCAAAACCAGTTATTCCAGAACATGTATAATTGCCTGAATCAGAAATTTGTAATGGTTCAGTTACTTCAAGTATACGACGTTGTTGACTAAAACGATAATGATCATTAGTATCCAATGAATAATCATGTAAATCTTGTACTTTCCAATTATAAATAACACCTGTATTATATTCAGATTGATGTGTATTCGAATTAATATCACGATCATTTGATAATGAGACTAATCCACCAGTTGAAGTAATATGAATAGGGCATTCAAGACGTAGTAAATCACCGACTTGTAAACGTATCTGATTATTATGATTTACAACCATTGGTACTTTAGTATCTGAAAAAAGGAAGTTATATAACAAGAAACATTAAACATTAAAGGGGCTTACAAAAAAGATGAAAAATTATTATTTTAGGTTCCCAATTATAGGTATGGTTATGAAAAAAAATGGAGATACATCATAGATACATCATAGTTAGACATTAGCACCACTGAATGCGTGTGAGCAATACTGAAGGTCCTGGGTTCGTAGGTGAGCACTGCTGAAGAGTCCAGTGCTTCCAGGTTTCAGACGGTAGTCTAGCAATTAATGATTAATTAATATATTCATGAATCAAATGGTTGCATTGCCAAAATGGATTTTCTGACTTAAATTATTCCAGTAAACTACAAGTTAGTTTTAGTTGGACCAAATCTTCATTTTTATATACCAAAACGCTTATAATTTAAGCATGCAAGTCCCTTTACATGAAATTTGTCATTATTTCTAATTAAAAAAAAGATTACTAATATTTCGTATATTTACAACTATTAATCGTATTAACAACAATAATAATAGTAGTAATCATTCTATAAAAATAAAAAATAATTTGAAATAAATTTGAATGACAGATAATATCTACTCAATCACATATTCATTTGAATTTTTTTTAATATTTAACTATAATGCAATAATCTCATAGTCATTCATTCTGACCAGCAGATGAACTCATTTCTCAATAGAATGAATATACAATTTTACATTATTCATAATTAAGTAAGTAAAATGTACATGGAAAACAATAACTAATTTCCTGCTGTTTTTTTTATAAAAAAAAGTATTTTTTTTTAATTCATTGGTAAATTTAAAAAAGAAAAGGAAATAAAAGCATTTAACCTGTAACAGGTGTACACGCATTAAATTTTTTTCTACAAGAAAACGTTCAAAACTACTAGTATTATTCACATTCACATTAAGTGGTTTTATAAGCGATAATAATAATAATAAACATTGAATATTTAACAAGAAAATTTATTGAGTTGTGTTTTAATTAAAAATACTATGTTTTGATTAGAATAAAAAAATGAACTCAGTAAACGATACTCTCAGGACTTTGTACCAGTGAGCTTAATTCAAAAAAATTAGAGAATATTAATAATAATAATAATAATAATATTGAAGACATCCTGTTGATAATTTAATTGCAATTTACAAATGTATGTTGTATTTATGTGTTTGTATTTATATAATCAGTAGTAGGTTAATTAATTGATTCATTGTCCATTTCTATAGATTGGAATCATTTGAAAAAGGGTGTAAATTAATGGTTATGCAAAGACCCTTATCTCAATAGGGGGTTAAATTTATTGAATAAAAATAACAATGAAAGAATTATTTACTGATTAATTTTATAGTACTTGAAATATATTCATTATATATATATATATATATATATATATATATATATATATATATATATATATCCTGATAACTTAATTAATATGCTATTATTTTCAGTGAGAAAAAAGGAATTGAGTATTATTATTGTGAACTAATAACAATCGTTGTAATTAACTTAAATTTTAGATTTTTTTAAATCGGCAATTATGTGAATTAAGTGTGAATTAAATTGTTTTATTTAAAGGAAAGAGAGAATTCAGTAGAGATGCCATATATTTCAATGCATTCAAATGATAAATAAAGGTTATGCATAGGATAAATTCATGAAATTTTATTAAATATTCATATTATCATTATGAGTTTGGTTTCGTTGAAAATCGGTTTTGTTTCGAATTCGTGTTACTTAGTTACAAATTATCAAGTTCATTTAATCAGCGTTGAGCTATACTATGAAATATATATATATATATTTTTTAAATTAGACTGCTATTACACACTGAATTCATCAATTCATCATCATTGTTAGATCACTATTAGAAACCTGGAAGCACTGAACGGCCGTTTCGTCCTGGTATGGGACTCATCAGCAGTGCGGATCCACGACTCCTGCCCCTCCAAGGATTCGAACCCAGGAACTTCACACTTGAGAGCGAACGCCTAAACTCTGGACCACCGGGCCGGCATCCAACAGTGTTCATGTCCAACTCTGGTCAATCTAGAGATTTTGTGAGACATCACCACTTGTCTTTGATAGCTACTGCCTACAACCGGTAGGGCTGAACTCCACGGGTTACATCTTCTCACTAGAACTCTGAGAATTTCCTCACGATGCTAGTCACCAGTGAGTACACTTTACGATTTTTTTCTAATTAGAGTTATGGAGATTAGTGCTTTTACACACTGAAACCATCAATCAATTATTGATATATATATATATATATATATATATATATATATATATATATATATATACAGTTACTCAATTTGTTCTATTAACTGATTACCTTTCAACAGTAACTAATCAATCACTAAATAGGATACAGAGAAGTCTAAAATAAATCTGAATTTCCTGATATTAGGAGCTTTCCTGTTAGTTAGTTTTTTTATCTTCCTAACTTGTATTATTCTTTCTCACCTATCTCGTATATATATATATATATATATATATATATATATATATATATATATATATATATATATATATAGAATTTTCAGATTTCACTGTATGGGTGCTACTTTTAGGACCAACGTTTTCTATATTCTTCTTGTAGAAGAGTTTGTGGTTATATAAACCCCGCTCTAATTCACTGGACAGCACAAATTCAACATAGGTCCCTAATTATCAATTTTGACGCGGATTTTTGTCCGATCGAAAAACTATTACAGCTGGTATAACCCGACTGAAAAAGATACTTAACCATTAGATCAAAATAGAAACCAATTTTTAGACAAGCGCAAAATGACTTCATCTAATGAAATAGTGGATACTAGAATGTAGTGACCAGATATTTCATTGCAGTTTTGTGCTAATCAATAGTGATCATTTAGGATATGCAAAATTCAATTCCAAACTTGGAGGTCTTGTATCAAACATCATGTCTATAAGTTACTCAGTCAAAATCTTAATGGAGTACAATTCTTAATTCAGTTAATTTTATGAATATCAATAGGCGTCATCACTGTTTACTGTTTTCAACTGATACAAAATAATGTCGAGAACGATTATCTTTTGTATTGCTCATGTAACTAAATTAAAACGGGAACAATTTAATAGTGTTTATAGTACTTTTACTACATTCTATATAACTTCAATGAATGATTACACTAATATCCTAATTTATTTCTGATGAATTTCATTCACATCAATCAAATAATAAGAGTTGATAGATCGTAGAAAATTGAACTATATAATGGATAGAATAAAACATATTGGAGCCAATATCAAGTGCTGATTAATTAATCTACCATAGTTTCAAATGTCAATCAGTTCATTTGTTACTACTTGCCTTGATATATATATATATATATATAACCATTATAATCGAAAAATGTAAATCAACAAAACGAGATTATATGCACATTCACTCATTCATTCATTCATTCATTCAAAAATAAGAATAATGTTATGCACTGATTGTCTGAAGTTTTTGTACTTTAGACATTTTTGACAAAAATGACATACAATCAGACAGGTAATTATTTAAATCATTGACTAACTAACTGATTAACTGGCTAACTGGCTAACTGACTAACTGTTAACTTAACTAAAATAAAAAAAACTCAGGTTACATCTAGAAATGTTGATGAATGAAAAATAAATGATAAATGATGCAACCAATATTTTGTGAATGATGTTGTTTTATTTGATAAATGAAGGAGATTTTTCATCAATCAGACAAAAAAAGTTAACGTTGCTGAATAAAACTTTTCTGTATATGGGGATACTATGAAAAAAAGAAAGACTTTTTCGATATGGAAGATCATGATTTTAGGTTTTGCATAAATGATACAAGGTTTTCTTGGCTAATTCAATTAGAAGATCTATAAACCATTATTCAATTAAGGTTGAATAATCAGTGAATGTAAAGAAGGTTTAAGATGAGTTTAATTCTTATCAGTTATCGATTTTAAAGTCACAATGCTAAGCTTTAAATCAATGCTGATTGTGTAATTTAACTAAAGTTCTTCTACATTAGAGCTTACAGTGTGTTATGTATTCCCAGAGATACAAAGACATGTAGGTCTCTGAAGTAAAGACAGTTCATTAGAGTTTAGAGAAAATTCCATTAACTCAAATAGTTGTGAGTAGACAAGTTAATGAACTGACTGAGTCGAATTAAATCCTATAACAGTGTTGCACTCTCATTCAGTCCTCAATAAATTTCACTCCATGATTGTAAATGCAAATTCGTAAGAAGTTTCAAACTTCAGATATTTGTAAATGTAAATTGTAAAAGTAAATTCATATGAAGTTACAGACGAAACACTTTGTTTGATAACTGATTGATAAAATATTGGTCAATCAAGAATTTCTCGACGAATTTCAAATTCCAAGATTTTAAAAAAAGTATATTAAATATTTTACTAAGATGAAAAATATTTTTATGCTGATAATGATAAGTTAACTATACTCTTCGATTCACTGACCATTTTCATAATAAACAGAAATTGTTTCTTTCAATAACTGAAAGATTGTAGTAAGTAGAAGTATTGTGCAATGTAATCTATGTATTTTACTCTAAAACATTTTAAAACACATATTGTGTTTAACTGAACTGACCAACAATAATAAAACTGTTTATATTTAAAATATTATCATTTGAATATCAGATTAATATGAACAGATTATCTAGATCAGCTGATATATAAGTCTGATAGATGAATTAATGTGTTCACTAACCATTAATTTATTCAATCTACCTCTGGAAAATTATCATTTTTTAATTTAAAATTAATGCAAATCAGCTTCATTCTCATTCTTCTTCTTCCAATTTTTTTCTACCAATCAATATTGATATTTAAAATTATGAAATATAGATATATATAGTCTTGTTAAATAACTACATTTCCAATCGTGAATGAATCGTTTGTAAAATCTACAGATGATAGAGAGATTGCTTAGACCAAGATTTCAAAATCCAGACTTAAGGCATGTTAGAATTGGAAATTGTTTCAC